AACATTATTTTATCTATTATTAATTAATACTACTTATTAAATTTTATTATCATTGAAGTTTAAAAATTAAAAAAATTAAAATTTTAATAGTGTTTAAGAACTATTTTGTTTATCAATTTTAGTCTTTTCTTTTTTAAATTTAATTTTAAATTGTGGTTTTATTTAGATATTTCAATATTTTTTTAAAATTAAAATAATGATTATTTATTTACCTTTTATTATTAGTTAAAAATTGAAAACTAAATGAATTCAAAATAAAATTATTGCTTTATTAATAAGATAAATAAAATTAAAAAATCTTATTTAAATTTAATTTGAATCTTATAAAGTAAAAAAATCTTTTAAATTAGGTGATTTATTTAAATTTCAAAATAATAAGTAAAAAAAATCAAAAAAAAATTTAAAAAATGACATCCACCATGCGTCAGTATTACAATCTATATTCATTTATTTTTATTTTGATGGAATATATTCAATTATTAGGATACCTCAATTTAAAACACTATATATATACTCTTCTAGAGTACTCTATTGCGCCAAACAAAGATGAGGATCTTCACAAAGCTCTCTGCACCACTCTGCCTCCTTTTTGTCTTCCTCTGTCTTAAAACTACCTTCTCGTCCTCTATACATGCTTCTTCCTTCTCAACAAGGCATCTCTGCCCTCATGAGGAGGCTCTTGCTTTGTTGCAATTCAAGACTTCCTTTTCCATCAATTACACCATTCCTTTTCCAGATTATCCAGATTATTGTGCGGATCATTTTTATACTAAACCTAACTATTCTAAGATTGAGTCATGGAAGGAAGGTATAGACTGTTGTTCCTGGGATGGGGTTAGCTGTGATAATGTCACAGGCCATGTAATTGCCCTTAATCTCAGCTGTAGCTTCCTTTCTGGCACCTTTCCTTCCAACGGCACTCTTTTCTTCCTCAGAAACCTGCAGAGCATCAATCTTGCCTTGAATGATTTTAGGCTTTCCAAGATTCCATCAAAAATCAGTCAGTTTACTAGACTAAAGCATCTTGATATCTCTTATTCTGGATTTTCGGGCCAAGTACCGGAAGAAATCGCTCACCTCCCCAAGTTAGTTTCTCTCAATCTCTCCAATTTTGAATTGATCCTTGAAACAACTACCTTGAGAAATCTTGTTCACAACTTGAGTGAGGTGAGAGAACTTGTGCTTAGTGGAGTGAACATGGCATCTGTTAATCCTCGTTTCTTCATGAATCTCTCTTCTTCTTTGACTACTCTTGATCTTTTGGAGAGTGCGTTAAGAGGAAACTTTCCAAACAGTATTTTTTGCTTTCCAAATCTCAAGAATTTTTATTTAAGCGGAAACTCAAACCTCACTATTGATCTTCCAAGTTCCAATTGGAGCAGTCCTCTCCAATATTTGTTTTTATCTGTCATGGATTGCGGAAGGCGATTGCCAGAGTCCATAGGAGATTTGAAGTCATTACAGTTTCTAGGTCTTGAATGCAACTTGGAAGGTTCCATTCCAGCTTCCATAGGTAACTTAAGGCAACTTACTGGTCTATACCTCTATTCTAACAATCTTAGCGGACAAATCCCATCATCACTTGCAAACCTCACTCAACTTACCGTTATTGACCTTTCATTTAATCAGTTTTCTGGTCCCATTCCTTTTCATGCAAGTAGGTTTTCCAAACTAGGCATTCTAGACTTATCTTATAACTTACTTAATGGCACGTTGCCACCTTGGATTTTCACCCTACCTTTGTTAGAGTACTTGTATCTTAGTCATAACCAATTTCAAGGTCAAATAAATCAATTCCGGCAAAACTCCCTCACACACCTAGATTTGTCAAACAACAAACTCCAGGGCTCAATTCTTAACTCAATTGCTAATTTAGTAAATCTTAGTTATCTTGATTTATCATCAAATCATTTTAGTGATTTAGTAGAAGCTGACATGTTCTCGGCGTTTCAAAATCTCAAAATTCTTGACCTTTCTCATAACAGCTTAATTGGGAAGATTCCAAATTGTCTTCCTAAGTCTCTCTCAGTGTTGAATTTGCAGGCCAATTACTTTGATGGAAATATAGCATTTGGGTTTCCAGAGGGCTGTGGATTACGAAATCTCAACTTTCATGGAAATCAAATGGACGGCTTATTACCAAGGTCTTTGGTGAATTGTAGCCTGTTAGAGGTTCTAGACGTTGGCAACAACAGCATAGAGGATACATTTCCTCATTGGTTGGAATCTCTACCAAACCTTCAAGTGCTTGTCTTAAGGTCCAACAAGTTCCACGGTTCTGTGCAGAGCACCAAAGAAAGTCCATCTTTTCCCAAGTTGCGAGTTCTGGACCTCTCTAGCAATTATTTTGTTGGTGCTTTGCCTGTTCGGTACATTGAAAATTTTAATGCGATGATGGACCCTCATAAAGATGGTGGTTCCCCTGAATACATGATGTTGTCGATGAGAATCGATTCTTATCAATATTCAGTGGTTGTAACATGGAAGGGATTCGACTATGAGCTGCAGAAAATCTTGACCATATTCAGTACTATTCATCTCTCAAATAACAAGTTTGAGGGAGAAATTCCAGATGTTATTGGAAAGCTTAGTTCTCTCAAAGGGCTTAATCTTTCTCATAACAACCTTACTGGTCATATCCCACCCTCACTAGGGAATTTGACTAATCTGGAATGGTTGGATCTCTCTTCCAACGAGCTAGCGGGGAAAATTCCAGATGAATTGGTATCTTTGACACAACTTTCTGTATTGAATCTTTCAAACAATCATCTTGTCGGACACATACCACAGGGCAATCAGTTCAACACCTTTGGAAATGGTTCTTATGAAGGAAACCTTGGACTGTATGGAATCCCATTGTCAAAATCTTGTGATGGAATTGGGACACCGGTGACCTCCTTCCAAGAAAAAGATGAGTTGTGGAGATTTGGCTGGAGAGTTGTGGTGTTAGGCTATGGATGTGGAGTTGTTTTTGGACTGCTGATGGGATATCTTGTCTTTCGAACAGGAAAACCAAAATGGTTTGTGTCTTTGTTTGATGGCCGACCAAGTCAAAGTGGAAGGAAGATGAGGAAAGCCAGAAGACTTGTTCAAAGAAGAAGCTAGTTGCAGAGTTGATATTTTAGAGCTTCTGATTTAATGTTTCCTGAATAAGTGCTTTTAGGGTTTGAAGTTCTTGTTATGGCTGGCATTGGCTTGTTTAAAATTGTCAGCCTTCTCTTGTCTTTCTTTATAATAAAATATATTTGAAGGTTTAACTTGTGAACCAAAATTTGCTTTCAACTGGAGGTTGTACTGATCAACTCATGGAATACTTCATCAAACGATACAATTTTATAACATTTCTTATCTGCCTTCGTGATTAAGATATCTTCACAGATAAGAGGCATGGAGGGGGTCATTTGTGAAGTATTTGAAAATATTATCGTGTTATACCTTGGCTTTAGGAAATGTGCATGCATTTGACTGATAAGTGCAAGGGAGCTAATGACCCTCAATGACTGTTTGTTTGGCAGAGCTTATTCTTCAACTTGTTTATAAGCACTTTTTTCTCTCACAAGTCTATAAATAATTTAAACCATGTCAGTTGAGAATTGTTGCATGTGTGGGGCAACATAGTTTTGGCTATTGGAATATGAGGGTAGATCTTCAGCCACTAATGTTGAACTGAACATCAAGTTGGTTGTAGGACACTCTTAATATTTTAGAGTTGATGAAAGCTCGGGGAAAATAAATATAATTTTGATTTGTTTTAGTAGTTGTATGGTTTTTGACTATTGTTATTGCTTAATGATAATCATTTCTAAGATAATTGCACATTTTACCCTCTGCATCTCAAATAAATTCCTTATAATTATTGTTGTTCTCTATCTTCTCCTTAACAGGTGCACTTGACACAGAGAGAGAGGCAGAAACTGCAGGTGTGGTCTCGAATTATGCCTTACAGAGAGTCCTTCACTTGGGCTATTGTTCCTTTATTTGATAATAGCATTGGTGCAGCTTCTGGTGGATCTGCTTCTTCTAGTAGCCCTTTTGCTCCCAGCATGTCTGGGTCTAGTTCCCATGAGGGTGTCCTTGAGTCTGTTGCAAAGATTA